CTTAAGCAAAGTCTCTCATAAAACAGGTCACCAAAATGTGGCTAAAGAGTCTTAGAAACAGAATGTGTATGCTGGGTTGTGTTTTTTTCTTTTTTTATTTGAATTTTTTTTTTTTTTTTTTAGTTTTATTACAAAGTCAGATATACAGAGAGGAGGAAGATTTTCCATGTGTTGATTCACTCCCAAAGTGACTGCAATGGCCAGAGCTGAGCCGATCCAAAGCTAGGAGCCTCTTCCAGGTCTCCCATGCGGGTGTAGGATCCCAAGGCTTTGGGCCATCCTTGACTGCACTCCCAGGCCACAAGCAGAGAGCTGGATGGGAAGTGGGGCCACCGGGGTTAGAACTGGCACCTATATGGGATCCCAGCACATTTAAGGCAAGGACGTTAGCTGCTAGGCCACCACGCCAGGCCCCAGTTTGTGTTTCTACAGCTCATTTGTCTCCACTTTCTTCCTCCTGTTCCTGCCCAAAAGAAGCTGCTGAGTATGCTTCCCTCTGTCTCAGTGGCACAAAGCTCAGCAGACTGATGAACACAGACCACACTCTTCTTTGTCTTTCACCTGCTCTCAACTACCAGATGCTACAGAATGAAAAGGAGTGACAGTCCCTAGCATTCCAGAGCAAGTGAATGGCTGCCCCATGGTTTCATAGTTCCATGTCCCAGTGCAGCTGGATGGCAGGCTGGGGGCAACTCTGAGCTTTTGCCTCATGGAGAAGAGCTGAGATCTAAAGCAACAGAAAGAAGGTTTGGCCCAAGGGCAGGCGTTTCTGAGGGTACAGACTGTCCCTGGGTCAGGTCGGGAGAACCTTCTGACAGTGTCAGAACTCAGTTCAGACAGAGGCTTGAGGTAAGCAGTACAAATCTGACCTGTAAGCAGAACTGCTGTACCTCTCAATTCACCATAAAGTAAAGAAAAGGCCAGTCTTGGGTAAGAGAAGAGCGGCTTCATGGTAGACCATTTGCTTCTCATTTTCATCTACAGGCCTTGCCCTCAACCACACCCCACTTTGTTTCCAAACACACACCACACACACACAACAAGTCTATTAGTCTTGGCTTTCTAAATTCAATATGTACTACCTATTCCTGGACCTGCCTAACCACTTAAAGGATTTTAAGACCTCTATTCAATCAAAATGTTGACATGCTCAGGCAGTCCTAAGAATTAAGTAAATTAGAAAGATGGATAGATAAAGATGGATTGGGAGTGGGAGCTGCTTGAGACATTCAGTTCAGGGTTGGTTCTCTGAACTGGGATCTGCAACCTGAGAAGGAACCGGCCAGTGGAAATCAGGAAAGATTTCCCAGGCCAAGGAAAGCATTGGTGCAAACACCCCAAAGCAGGAAGCAGCTGATCTGTCGGAGGAACAGAAAGCAGGGTGATTTAGGATGACCAGATAATTCAATGGAGGACAGAATAGCCTTTTCAGCACATGGAACGGGTACACCTGAATATATACACATGAATGAATGTAGCTGCTCTCTCATACCATATTCAAAAATCAACTCAAAAATAATCATAGACCTGCATGTAAGAAATATTAGTATAAAACTCTTAGAAGAAAATCTAGGGGTAAATTTCCATGAGCTTGAATTAGGCAGAGGTTTCTTAAATATGGCAGCAAAAAAAGCGCTGCCAAAGGATAGATCTGATAAGGTTTCATCTCCATGACTGATGCTGATCATAATCCCCAAACATACAATCCTGAACACCAGACTCCTGAATGTTGAAACCCCAAAAGATCAAGTCCTCAAAGTCAGAGTCCTGAAAGGGCAATTTTGAAATCCTAATCATGTTTCCTGTGGAGAAAAGGGCTGCATAAGAGGAATCGAGATCTGGATTCTGGAGATGGGATTAGCATGGCTTCAGTTGTACATGGAACTGTGGCCAAACCACTCAATTCTATGCTACTTCTGCCCTTATACACATAGCATTTGCTTTCAAAAAATGTCCTGGAGTAGTATTTGACCTGGTTAGATAAGACATGGCTTAACACATTCATTTTGGAATGTCTGGGTTAGATACCTGGCTCCAGCTGCTGACCCCAGCATCCTGCCAAGGGCAGACCCTGAAAGCAGGTGATGGCTCAAGCAATTGGATTCCCACTACACACTACCTAGAGGGAGTTCGTCCTGTATTAAACAACATACTAGATGGTGAATGACACTTAATAAAGATTTTATTTTTTTAATTGGAAAATTATATACAGAGAGGAGGAGAGACAAAGAGGAAGATCTTCTGTCCGATGATTCACTCCTCAGGTGGCCACAATGGCCGGAGCTGAATTGATCCGAAGTCAGGAGACAGGAGCTTCTTCCAGGTCTCCCATGTGGGTACAGGGTCCCAAGGGAAAGTAGAGCAGCTGCAACAGACACTGGCACCCATATGGAATTTCAGTGATTGAAAGGTGAGGATTTAGCTACTAGGCTATCATGCTGGGCCCAATTTTTTGTTTTCATCTTCTATGCCAGGTTTTTCTATTTTGCTATGTGTTAAGATATCTTTTCCTCAAACATTCATGTACAGACCAACACTTGGTGGAACTATGTTAGGGACAGGCTAGGAATGCTGTATGTAGCCTTAATGCCTTTTATCTTATTGTGCACATAATTATTCTCCAATTAAACTGGCTTGTCCAGGGAAAAGTGACTTTTATTTGTTAAGAGTTCCTGGAGCTGGAGGAAGCCTATTGCAGGCAAATGACATTCTTTTAAACTGAAGTTTTCATTCTGGAACTGTATAGCCAACTCAATCCTTTTAATTTTCCACCAAGTGCATCTGAGTGAATGGAAAAACAAACTTTATTGGCAGTACCTGGGAATTCACTATTAGAAGACTTGATTACACCTAATTCTAAATCTGTCACTATAGTTTGCAGAAATCCATTTGCTTTCAAGTCCACAAAATCTTTAAATAAATGTCCATAAAGTGCTTTCCTTTTCAAGAGTAACTAAGTTCTAAAATTTTTCATATCAAAATGGAACATTAATTGTATATATTTGATAACACAAAAAACAGAATGATTTTGAATGTACAAATCATTAACCAAAAGAAGCACATGCTATTTTTTCTATTAGACTTAGTGACACATTTAAGAAGTGTATCTTTGGGCCTGGCGCAATGGCGCAGTGGTTAAGGTCCTCGCCTTGCATGCCTGGGATCCCATATGGGCGCCGGTTCTAATCCCGGCAGCCCCGCTTCCCTTCCAGCTCCCTGCCTGTGGCCTGGGAAAGCAGTCGAGGATGGCCCTTGGGACCCTGCACCCGTGTGGGAGACCCGGAAGAGGCTCCTGGCTTGGATCGGCATAGTATCGGCCATTGCGCTCACTTGGGGAGTGAATCATCGGACGGAAGATCTTCCTCTCTGTCTCTCCTCTCTGTATATCTGCCTTTCCAATAAAAAAAATAATAAAAATAAATCTTTAAAAAAAAAAAAAGAAGTGTATCTTCTTCAAGAGTCAAATGCCTCATCAAGAGTCATTCATGGGCCTGGTGTGGCAGCCTAATGGCTAAAGTTCTTGCCTTCTATATGCCAGGATCCCATATGGGCACCAGTTTGTGTCCCAGCAGTCCCACTTCCCATCCAGCTCTCTGCTTGTGGCCTGGGAAAGCAGTCAAGGATGGCCCAAAGCCTTGGGACCTGTATCCACATGGGAGACCTGGAAGAAGCTCCTGGCTTTGGATCAGCTCAGCTCTGGCCATTGTGGCTGCTAGGGGAGTGAATCATTAGACAGAAGATCTTCCTCTTTGTCTCTCCTCCTTTCTATATTTCTGACTTTCCATTTAAAAATAGAATGAAATAAGAAATACAAAAGCTGCTGGGGATACAAGACTTTAAAAAAATATTTAGTGATGGTGAGACTTAGCCAGCTCTTCAGCATTACTTGTGTGCAACCCTCTATAATCTATCCCTACAATGTATCTTTTTAACGTTGAATTTTCTGTTTTCTCAGTTTTGTTTTTTCCTCACTAAATAGATTGTCAGTACTATTTTTCACAATTCGTTATGCTATGTAGTTCACCCCCACATCATTTCTGTGCTGGAGGCACACATTGCTATAAAGACTTTTGGGGAATTTTAATTTGTTTTATGCATTTTTTTGGTGAAGTTATCTCCATAAAAGCATGTCATTACAATGTTGACTTTCTGTGTAAGCATTAGGCATGGCTACAAAAGAACTGATTTTTCCCTATACTCAATGAGATGGTCTTTTTGTTCCTCTGCATTTATGAAAGTTGAAATTTCTCAGAAGATAGGACTCAAAGCCTGAAAAGTCCAGTGTGGGATGCTGGTGGCCCAAGCAATGCTAAATCACAGGTGCCAGTCATACCACCTGCCCTGACACGCTCGCTTACGAATACGATTCTGCAGCTCACAGCTGTTATGCCTGCGTGACTATCATTCGTATACCTGTGTTGATACGTAGTGCTCTTGTTGCCTGTTATGTAAAGTGGCTTATGAAGTATTCTGGCACATTTTTATATGCTTCTTAAGTAAATCTTTGTAAAGTATAAATAGCTTTTAAACAATTAAAGTTTTTTTTCTAAATGATTTTTTTTATCTTTATGGATTTTAGACTTGAAAGATTTCATGCATTTATTTATTAAAGATTTGTTTATTTATTTATTTGAAAGGCAGGGGGACAGTGCCAGGCCAGGGAGTGGGGGAAAGAGAGACACACAGAGAAAGAGAGAGAGCGATTGAAATCTTCTGTTTGTATTTCACTCCCCAAATGGCAACAATGGCTAGGTCTAGACAAGGCCAAAACCAGGAGCCAAGATCTCTATCTACATCTCCCACTGAGTGCAGAAACCAGAGCCTGAGCTATCTTCCACTGCTTTCCCAGGTGCATTAGCAAGCAGCTGGATTAAAAGTGGAACAGCAGGGACTCAAACCAGCATTCTGATATGGGGTGCTGGTGTTGCAAACAACAGCTTAATTTGCTGTACCACAATGCTAGCTCCCTGAATTTCAACATTTGGGTTTATGTTTTTCAGGATGATGTCTCCAAATTCCTGTTCAGTGTCTGAAGATCCCCCACAAGCCAAGAACAAAACAAAACAAAAAAGAAATTCAATTTAAACCCGGGATAGGATCTGAATAGGCGTTTCTCCAGACAAGGTATGTGGCTGCCCAACACCAACAGGCACAGAAAGGAATACATGACATCAAGGAAATTCAATTCAAAATCACATTAAGATACTATTCAATATAAAAGGTGCCTCATGCTGACAAGGGTATACAGAAATTGGAACGCTTACATACAGCTGGTGGGGCTGCAAAATGGTACTACCACTCTGTAAAAGAGTCCTCAAAATGTTAACTGTATACTTATCATGTGATCCAGGAATTCGATCCCTAGGCATTTGCCCCAGGGAATTGAAATACGTATTCACAAAAGAATGTATACATAAATATTCATAGCAACATTACCTTCAATAACCAAACTGTGGGAACAACTCAAGCGTCCACCAGTCAGTGAATGGTAAACAAGTGCAGTATGTGCCCACGATGCGATAGTATTCCGCTATGGTAAAGAATAAAGCACAGACACATGCTACAACATGGATGCACCTTTAAAAATATCTTCCAAGGTGAAAAGAGACCAGACATGGAAAGTCACATAATATATTTGTGTAATTCCATTTTTAAAATCTAAAATAGGTAATTCCATAAAGAATAGAAAGTAGATTGGGGTTCTCTAGGGCCAGGAGTTGGGGGAGGATTGGAGGTAAATCAGGGAGTGATTATTAACAGCCAGGGTGGGTGTAAGATGGGCTGAGCTGTGCCTTGGCTTCCACTGAACCATGTGAGAGCTGAGTCTGGGTGTGGACCAGGTGTGGCTAGGATGTAACACCCAACAGTAGGAACCGGAATGGGTGTGGGCGGTTGGACAACACCACTGTTCCTGCGAAGTCAGGAGGTGGGTCAACTCAGGCTGTGCCCACCAGTGTGTATGAGATCTGCCACTGGGAAATGACCTACTAGAGGAGCTTGGGGAATTCCTCTATCAGAATGCAGTCCCTGCAGGTGAGCTCAAGAACCAAGGTTGGAGGCAGCCCAGACCAGGCCAGGTTGCAGTACCTGCTAGCATATGTGTGGGTCAGATCTGGGGGAGGCCAGGCTGGTCCAGTTGATAACACTACTGGCATATCTGAGGACCAGGACAGATGCAGAACAAGCCAGTTCAGGCTGCAACACCAGCCAGTTCACATTAGGATTAGGACTGGGGCTAGCTCAGCTGGGTTAGGCTGTAGCACTCACAAGCATGATCTGGAACTAGGCCCAGACCAGTCTGGGCTAGGCTAGAGCACTTGCTGGCAAATGCTGAGGTGAGATGGGCCATGCCAGAATAGGCTGTACCACCTTCCAGTCCACAAGTGACCTGGAAGAGGGGATGTGAGCCCAGTAGGGTCCTGCAAGGGGCTCCCATGCTGGGCTACTTCTCCCACACTGGTGAGCATAAGAACAGGCAGGGCTACAACACCTGTTTTCCTGCATGTGAATTGTGTTAGCGGGAGAACCAGGCAGGGCTAACCGATTGTATCCACTGGTACAAGCATGAGCCAGATTAAAATACAGGCTGGTTGGGCTCTGCTGAAGCATCAGCTGTCAAGTGCTGTGACTAGAGGCAAATCTGGTCAAACTAGACTACAGAACCACATGGAGAGTGCAAGATCTGGGGTTGGGAGTGGTCCCTGTAGGGAAACTGTGGGTACCTCTCTGATGGGCTGTAATTCCCACTGGTGAGCGTGAGAACCAGGGCTGGGGTTGGGCTTGAGTAGACAGGTGGTGGCATTCACCAGCATGATTGTGGGCTAGATAGTAGGGCTGGCTGGGTTGAACTAGGCTCCAATGCCATTGATGTATATGAGAGTTGAATGAGATGTGCAACAGACTGAACCAGTCTGCTACACATACTGGCATACACAGCAACCAGGGTTGGGGGCAGGTCTGGTGGGGTTTATTGAGTATTGCTCTGACTGGGCTGCAGCTCCTGCTGATTTATGTGAGAACCGAGTGTGTAGCAGGCTGGGTTGGGTTGGGCCGCAGCATCCATTTGTTTGCATAAAAGATGGGGCTGGAGACAGAAATGACCCAGCAATTGCAACCACCAGTGTATGTGTAGGCAGATGTGGGTGACAGCCTGAGCCAGATCCTGTACTGTTAAGCACACACAAGAGTCGGGTCTGGGATTACCTCAGATGAGGTTTCTTTGGGGGACTCCCCTTAACTGAACTGCTGGACCCAGAACTCCAACCATGGGGGAGAATTGCAGGATCTGTAGACTGACCATGGAATGCATGTATTAGAACTAGGCCTCCTCAGTGGCTTAGATAGAGCAGTGGACACCATATCCAGAGGCACATGGAGTGTATGGCAGTCCATTGGGACCTGCAGAGGACATGTGGTACTATAGCAGATGAAAGAGGACAGAACAAATTAGACAACTCTCCAAGCCAAGTGTTGAGAGCAAATATCTGGGCGAATGCAAATTCAAAGGTGCACTATGTCAGCCAGTGGACTTGGAAGGATTATCTAACCCTTGGGGTAGTGATATCAACAACATTTCAGAGCTATCAAAACCACATGAGCAGAACTTTAGGAACATGTGCCACATTGGGATGACAATGGGTGGCCATTCCTTATTCCTGGGTACTGGTACAATTGGGAGGTGGGGATGTTGCTTCTCCAATGATCTCCCCTCTTCCCTCAAATGCAAGAGGAAGAAAAAAAATTTGGAAACAATGGTCTCATCCACTTTCCCCTAATCCTTGACCCCTTCTACCCTGATCAACTATGAAAACATCATTTAAAAAATCTAAAATAGGTAAATCCATGAAGGATAGAAAGTAGATTGAGATTATCTAGGGAGAGTTGGAGGAGGGTTGGAGGTTAGGGAGTGTTTATTAGCAGGCACCGGGTTCCTTCATAGGGTGAACGTGTTCTAAGGTTAATTGTGATGCTGGCTGAGCAACTGTGCTGGAAACCATTGAATTTCATTATTTACAATGCTCACAAATTATACAAAACTCACAGTGCTGTCTCAACAAAGATGTTTTATAGGGAGACAGTGAAAGAGTGAAAAAGGAAAAAAAAATAAAGAAAATAAAAAAGGGCAGAGGGAAGAGGAGTGGCTACAACGTAGGCAGATCTGGGGACTGGGTCTTTAGGGATGAAGGTAGCAGAAGCAAAGGCAGTGGTCATCCCAGGGAAGAAGTTGTAGGCCATAAATAGGATGGGCCTTCATTCTCATTGTGTGGGCAGTCATTGGAAGGTTTAGGTACAAAGGTGATCTGATCTAATTACCCAAAATAACTGGCTCTTGTGTGGTAACTAGGCTGGGGGTTGGGAAGGGAGTTTGTTCATGGAGACTCAAGCTGTCCTCAAGGTTCCAGTGAGAGGTTCTATGTCTCTGGCTAGATTCTGATGGTAGGGATTAACACACGGTAGGTGGCTTTCCTCTTTTTCTTTCTTTAGCCCATCATCACCTCCCACCATCCATTAGAGCGCTTTTCCAAAATGAAGAGGACTATCACCACGTTTAGTGCAACTAGAGTGTGTCCAACTGAAATTTAGATCAGCAAGGTCCAAAGCAAAAGAAGATTTTTTTTCTAGATTTTTCAGTTACAGTTAGTCAGGAAATAGTCTTGTGCATTCATGATATTTCAAAAGAGAGCTGCAGCGCATCAAAAGGAAGCACACAGCTCGCTCGCATCACCTCTTAGGGATGAGTCACTAACACACAACACACCCCCAGCTGAACAGCAGCTGGTTCTACACAGGTGCCTGAGTTCCTGCAGCAGGGACTGGTAAACTACATTGCCCAGGAAACACTACTCAAACCCAGTCACTCAACTCCACCTAAAATGATGAGCAGAAAAGTGTTCATCTCACCAGTGGGTGTCAGCTTTCTTCCCACAGAAGATCCACATGATGTGGGTCCTCTAGCTCACCCTACAGGAGAAACTCTTTGCAGGAAAGACAAACAAAAATCACAGCTTCAGATATGGAATGAGTATTTACAGAATTTTGAAAACTGACAAATAGCATAAGCATCAGAAAGTCTATTGAGCATAAGCCACCATTATATTGGACAATCAAGTAGCTGAGACACTTCATACTATTTTCCCTGAAGCATTAACTACGTTCTCTCTCTCTTTTTTAAAAGATGCATTTATTGATTTGAAAGGCAGGGTTACAGTGAAAGAGAGAAAGATACAGAGAGAGACAGGAAGATCTTCTGTCTGCTGGTTCACTCGCTAAATAGCTGCAGTGGCCAGGAGTGAGCCAGGATAAAGCCAGAGGATCCAAGAACTGGGACCATCTTCTGCTGCTTTGCCAGGCACAATAGCAGAGAGCTGGCTCAGAAGTGGAGCAGCTGGGGGCCTGGTGCATAGCCTAGTGGCTAAATCCTCATCCTGTATGTGCCAGGATCCCATATGGATGCCAGTTCATCAGCTCAGCTCTCCATTTGATAATAACTATGTTGAAAAATGCTGATTCATGGAAAATAAGAAAGTCAATCCTGAATTTCCTCTCACATGGTTTTTGTTTTTCTTTTTCCTTCTTTAAGGTTGAGTTAGCGCATGCTTCAGAACCCCTTGCTGGCAATGCTCCTTCTATAATGTCCTCTATAGTTTTCTTGCTCTGTGTCTTTCACAGCAGCTTGTCTGACTTAGCCAGCTCCTTGCCTCATCCGTGTTCTCATAATCCCAGGATGGCCATGAAGACTACTTGTAGTTTCTGAGCAAGGAGCAGAGCAGCATCTCATTCAAGTCCTTCTTGGACCAGAAAGCAACATGACCTGGCACACAGCAAGCACTGAATAACAACCAGGTACCTCTACTATTACTAGTACCTCTTTAATAATCAGCCAGTAAACACAATAAAGAAATATCCCCACTCCCTCCCACTCAGGGTCTAAGCTTCAAAGTGAGGGTACCTGCACTAAAGTCAGATAGGACAGAAGTCTCAATGGATTTTCTATCAACAATCTCATACATTCACGGAACAGAATGGATTTATTTTTGCTACAACATGCTAAAAACTACAGGACTGCATCTTTTCCAACCTCCCACCTGCCACATTCAAACCCAGATGTTTGGTTTCAACACTAA